CCCCACGGCGCCGGTGTTCCTGCAAACTTCACACCAGCGGATCGGCGTGCCGCTTAACCGGCCCGCGCCTGAAGGAAGGCGCACGTTCGCATAGCTACTCCTGGTGAAATCCAGGCAAGCCCCGAGCTCCTGCCGTCCCTTCCCTCCCCTTTGATATTCCGGCCGTTATTTTCTCAAGGCAGCAGGCGGCCTGGAGTCCACCTGCATTTCTCTGCTGGCGACGGAAAAGAGCACAAGTCTTGTAACAAGTGATTATTAGCAATTCACAGTAACTGCAATTAGCCAAAGTCAACACGAAAGAACTGCTGTATAATCGAGTAAAGAGACGTTCAGGTTGAAAAAAACCTGAAGTGCATGACTGGGAATTAATTGCCTGGCCCACAGCGGATTTTCCCTAAGCTGTCTCGTTCCTTCAGTAACTAACTTCGGGAACAGAACTCTCTCCAGGCATCATTGTAGGAGTGATTCTAAAAGCAAGATTGTATCTTCCAGCAGAACTTTTTTTTTTTTAAAATGTCATAATTAAAACCGACTCCCCCAGACCTGGGAACTATGTCTAAGGGAGGAGGAAGCAAAAATTTATGCTTCCGAGATTCCTGACCACAGTAAAACGATCACTCGTTGTACCTCTAGCAGAGCTTTTTGCTTCCAGATTACCGTCATGTAAGCGAAATTTTGTCATTTCCGATTCTGAAAGCAAAGGGGAATATTCTTATTACCCTGACGCCTGGGTGCAAAGCTCCACACACCTGGAGAGAATTGAAGTCGCTAAAAATCACATCTGTGCTGTTCTTAGGGGAGCAGAAAGACATACGATGTCCAGACCCAAACTATTTTTGCCCTGAACACACTTGGCTGCCGTCACATTTCCGAGTTCTCACAGCAGAAAATCCTCATTTATTCTAAAGTTCCCAATATACACATAAATCCATGTAGCTCGGTCTACCGCATCTCTCTCTCTTCTCTGTGTCTACGTTCTGCAGGCATAACTTATGCATGTATATGTATATCCATGCATTCGTACAGAGCATGCAAACATACATAGAGCTAGATACAGAGGCATATACAAAGACGCTGCGTTGTGTATGTTTGTCTATGTGTCTGTGGAAGACTGTACTGTAGGTCCCTCTGTGAGCCGCACCGATTACATGGGTCTGCGTCTACACGTACATCGGGATGCCCGTGGTTCCGACCACCCCGACACCAGAAGCAGCGCCGAGCCCCCTCCCTCCGTCTGAAGAGAGCACCTCCAGCGCCCGGGGGGGCCCCATTCGGCAAGTGAGTGTGGGGTTTGGGGGTGGGGGCACCCCCCGAAACAGCGGGGGGAAGCGGCCGCCGAGCGCCGCAGCCCCCTCGGAGCCGCCCCCTCGGGGGCATCGG